TGTGCCGCTGGCAGCTATGCCGTAGTAGCATCATCATCGTGATCAGCTAAAATAAAACACAGATCAAAACTTTACGTTTATGTTCTCAGGAGATGTTTTATTTAGCGTGGCTTTCTTTTTACACCCAAATTTGATTAAATCGATACAACCCATTGAATAGCAGGGTGGGTTCGGATTTAGACATGGTGGATGACGTGTGAGTTGAGTGGGGATCTTCAAGGAGACACTTGAGGGCTGGCCAAGTCGAATCAAATCTCATCACGATAAGTTGTGCAATATCAGACCATGCTGTCGATTTATCCGACAGAGACTTTTCTCATCCTGGAATTCCGGTGGTGGATGGATGGATCAGGAAAAATGAGTAAAGGTAGAAAGAAATCTGAGCTGTTGTTGTGTTATGTGATATGAACGAGACATGTGCAGAGACGGTTCACAAGGAGAAACAGCTAAGACAAAATTTAAAAAGCTTCAAAAACAGACAACGAAATCTGCCTAAAATATAACCTTTGCTGCGGTTCGTGTTGGAAGGTAGACGAATAAGGCCAGGATTTATTTGATGATAGAAACTGTAAAAGACACTAACATATCATATGGAAGTACATATCAGTGATATCAGTGCTGTGATCTACATTTACTGAGATATTATATTGCACTAGATATGCAGATGTAGATTGAAATTGCGGACCGTGATGTGAAAATATGTAAAAATGAGAAGGGCCGAAGTGAGATGATGGGCCGCCACCGTACAAAAATGGTTGTATGAAAATGTGCATGCACATAGATGTTAAACATTGGTTGGTGTAAGTCCTTAGCCCAAACGCTATGCAGCAGCCCCACTCGTGGATATCGGTGATCAGAGAATCTGTCCATGTGCAGATTTCGTCTCACTTTACCTTATTCGGTTCAATCGACAGTTCAAATAAACTCTCCTTCTTCCTGTCTTCTTCTCTCTCCCCGTCTCTCCTGCTAGGAGAGGAAGCCATCTATTTGTGCATGGATATGGAGTAAATTCAAAATCAAACGCACTTACTACTGGCTGACTTGCCGGGGTTAGTGACAAAGTTTAGGTTCGCAGTTGTATGTATGTATGCACGTAGTATTTACACACTCTTTTTTCTCTCTCCTTTTCTTCTCACCACGACCCATTCGCCAAAATAATGCCCTTCTCAAGTCTACATACATACATGTGGAAATAAAATTTGGTATCCAAAGTTGAGTTTCAGAAATCATATGAGATTTCCTTTTGCTTCTTAAGTTAAAGTTCAATGTACAGGTCTCAGTTTTCTTAAGCGACCTGATTTGATAGTCTCCTCCTGTTGTGCTCCTTCTCCTCCTTCTTCGTCTCTCATGTCCCGGTTGACTTGGCTGTCTGTTTCGAAAGTGTAGAATAGAAAATTGCCAAAAGGAGTCAGGAAGAGGAGCAGATTGGAATTGAAATGAAATCCCCAAGACGTGGTGAATGCACGGGTGAAGGCATGCATGCCATCCATGTCAGCCTGGCAGCGACGGCAGCCACCGACCAAAGTCCGTGCCTGCCTATGATACAGTTGATTTTCCATAAGAATAACTTCAATCCATGCCGGATGCCCCATTAATTTTGGGAATCTTATGGGCATTCTGTGGTTGTTCCATCGTTATGGATGGAGTTGAGCAGAGAGAAGAAACTTTCTCTGGCTGTGATTTCATTCTATTGCCGCCATATCGAAGGATGCCAATTATGCACTTAAACTACTGGCTCATAGTCCAAAACCCATCGTTTGGTGAGAACCTCCTATCCATGGCCAACAATAACGCAATAGCGTCCTGACCTAATAGATATTTCTCTACATCTCATTCACTTGGCTCAGAATTAGGCTCGTCGATGGCGACGAAGAAGGAGGAGGATGTGGACGAGGTAACCGTTGAGAGCTCCGTCGTCGTCCTGATGCTGGCGAACGCACAAGAGGAAAAGAGAGAGAGAGCTCACAATACGTAATCAACTTTCCCCGATGAACTAATAGGAAGAGTGAATAGTTATGCTACTTGGAGGGTTTGCGGAATTATTTGCCAGGCTGTGGCTGTATGGATTTTTAATAGACATGCTCTTCATTATTCAGCTCAGTTTATTAGATTTCACGTCCTAACTGCCATATTCTATTCTCCATCCTTTATTGCTACCACTATTTTCACTATCACTATTGCTTTCATCACTTTGCCACTGCATTTTCACCCTGAAGGGGAATAGTTAATCTTCAGACCCCTGCAAAAAGTATGCACGGCCTTCTACCAGGCTTTGTTTTTGGCCTTTCTCATTTATTTGTGCAACTAGTAACATGTATTGTGTGCTATTTTAGAAGTGTTGTGACTACCAGGATTTTACTTATTATTTATAACCTGTTCATTGTGATGGGGAATTAAAATAGCGAATCTTTGTTATTATAAGATTGGATTATTCCCTTAATTTACCAGCATATATACATATTGCTGACAGCTGCAAGAAAAAAATATTTTGTGAATGGTGAGAAATATGAGAAATGTTTTTATAACTCGATTTTTATACAAATTTTCCAACCACTTTTTTCTTTTGAGAAGAAATATTGAAAACAGCGTGAACTCTGACAAAACACATTTGTTTCCAAAAAGAAACTGAAAGTTATTTAATAAGTATGAATTTGACCCACTAAAAGTTACTTCAATAAGCTTAAGTTTCCTTAAAGTTGGTTTTATGTATGTGTCTGTGTTTCGTTCAGTGGTGGTGGCAAAAGGAAAACATTAAAACGAAAGATTTTTTTTGCGACGCGACGTGTTGTTGTTGTACTTTTGTTATTCGCATCCCAAACTATACCAAAATACGAATTGATTACGCCGCTGGTTGGCTTGTTTTTTTTTGCAAATACACATGGGATTTAGAATTCAGAGTTAGAGAGGAGGAAAGAAAAGATGGGATGTGGCAGCTGCATGTACGCTTCCTCATCCCCACACCATATTTACAGAAAAAAATGCTAGAATTTTAAAGAAGAGAACTAACTTGGATATATATGCATATATAACTTTGGATACTATTGTTCACATATAGGTTATTTGTTAGCAGGCACCAAAAGCAATTCTAGGAGCGAGTTTAAAAAGAAGTAATTTTATGCATAGAGAAGAAGAACTTGGTTCGCACCGGAAGTCCAAAAAGTTATACAAAAGTTTGGGCATACATGGATACACTTGCCATTCTTTTGCATTCATTAGAAATTCTTGTTGCAGTCAGTACATATTCTCGTAATTTACTACATTATAATATACTCTGGTGATGTAGTTTACTACAAAAGTACAAATTCTTGAGGGGACCTCGGCTCACCCTTTGTATTCTATACATCTGCCGTCATATGAACTCAGTTAGACTGATAGAAACGACTGACTTTTATTGAGCTGTTACTCTATATGCATTTAGCTTTCATATCGCCGTAGCTTTTATAGCGAGTGGTTGGCACGTAAAGGCTTAGGAAGTGAATATTATACAAATTTGAACAGCAGCCGGAAGTCCGTGTTTAGGGAGTTGGCTCAATCAACAAAAAGAACGGAAGAAAATGCTGAAAGAATTGCTTATTAGAATTCGATGCAGGTCGTCTCATGATGAGTTTTGGTTGTACCAACAAACCAGATGAGATGACAGTTAGGAATTTGCTGTTCTATGTTCTACTCTCTCTCTCTGTCTCTACACCTAGAGCGTCTTGCTTGTGATAAGCATAACGCCACAAGCGCCGCAGTAGTAGCAACGTCAGCGCCAACGCTTCATAGAATGCTTCATCAGACAGAAGAAGGGTCGGTCGTTCCAAATACAAAGCCAGCTTCATCCATAACAAACACGTCTTTTTGAGCCAACTGACAGATAGACATATTATACGGCTGTACGGTTCTCTCCAATGCAATCCATCCATAATATGGATGGGTGGATGAGCAAAGCAGGACAAGCTACCACGAAGGGGGTGGAACATATATTCGTATAAACATGTACAGATATACGTACACGGGCGACACAGTTGTCGAAGTCAAGTCTGAGACTCTCTTTGTTCCACTAATCATTACCAGAAGAAACAAGTCCTCTTGTTTCTGAGCAAGTCGGTGTCCTTTTACTGTTCGTCGGTTCCTATCTACTCGTTCAAACCCAATCATGACCATGACAGATTTTTAATTATTAGAGTCACTCCTGGAAGCAGCATTGGGAGAAAGTGTGGAAAGAAAACTAATCAGGAGGATATATAAGAAGCACTGAGAGATCTGTCTTCAAATGTATATTCAAGTATACAAACATGAACCAAAGTTTGCAATCGTGAATGAATGACTGAAGAGAGGAGGATATCAATCTTAGGGCAACCCAAATTAAAAGTTTGACCCAAAATAATCTCGTTAGGTAGCCCAAAAACTTTCTAAACCAACCCTCTCTCTCTCCATCCTCTGGCTCGCGTTTATTTACCTCTTGTGGCAAAAAACGTGTTTTTCTGCACGAGAGCTCCAGGATGTGATGAAACCACATCGAGCAGGTTTCTCTGGCTCAGATTATGGTTGGGGAGGAAGCGGGCGTGATGCAAGCGGGATAAAAGAGGACGAGAGGGCATGACACTTAAGGTATAACATTAGCATGCGGATTTCTTCGACACAGCTCAGCAAGGACTGGGTGGCCTTAATAATTTTCCACTCTCGGTCGTCCCTACAAGGAAATAAACTTGGGGCGACCAAAATTGATACTGAGGTGGACGAACAGCAGTTGTTCTCACTGGTGGAATGCTTCGTTCCGTGTACACGTTTACTTCTCAACTCGGCTCATGCACTTAGGAACACATAGATTCTGTTTGGATTGGATATAACATTAAGGCGGATGGGGCAAAGGAATGGGGACTCCTCATGCAATTTCGGAAGGGAAGGAAACCCGGGTAGAGGAGAGACACGCAGAATCCACTGCTCGTTTCCTCCATCCAGAGAGGCAGCACGGGGGCACACACAGGCTGTCCGACAGAGAGAGAGAGAGAGAGAAAGGCCAGGATTACTTCAGAGCAGCAGCATCACTCTTCTCCAACACACGGATAACCACGGAGCAGCCCCCGTCATCCTCGTCGCTGAATAGTGAGAGAGAAATAGTGAGCAATTCCACACAGGCAGCAGATTTGCTGAACGACGACGGGTTGAGAAAAAGTGAGCCAAGTTTGGGGAAAGTAGAGTGGCAAGGAAAACAAGTCGTACGTACGTACGTATAGCGGAATCATACCCGTGGGTGGTTGGTGCGATTATCCACACAGTGCAGCAAGCAGTACCTACGAAGACGCTTAGGTTAGACGCTTGACGGTGGTACATATTGGTTGGTGGCACGGTATATATCGTGCGGTGGATCCTATCAGTGTTTCGTCGCTCATACATTTCTATGCGAAAGCACCGAGTTGACTTTTCCAGTCGCATTTAAACTCTTCTCGAATGGATTTTATTGAGAGTGTCACCGTCGTCTAGTCAGTCTCTGCTCTGCTCTCGCGGACGGGATTTAAGCAGGACTGAGGAAACATTCAAAGAGAGTTCTCCTCGATCCGTATTATACGACACCCATACGAACATTTTTATTCACAGCCTGTTTGAGTGAGTTTGCTTTCCTCACTCTCATCTCATACGGCACTTTACATACCACTCTCATCCAGCCAGGCACGAAGAGTTAACTAGAGTGCAAGAGGGAAACCAGTGTAAAATAAAACATAAAGCAAAGTCAACGCAAACTTTCTTCTCGCCAGCCCTTTCTCCGCCGCCCGCCTTGGCCTGCCTGCCTCCTCCTCCGCCTCGTCTAGTGAAAATTTACTTGACTTGTTTCCGAATGGGACAACTTACATCAGCTTACACGAGACGGGTCCTGATTGCGTGTGCTAATAAAAACCAGAGAATCCCTCTCGCTGCCCGAGTGGTGCAAGGAAAATCACCACGTTAGCATCTCTGCTGTAAATTTACGTTCACTTTCCCTTCGCACTCTCTCACCCACACATTCTTGTCGGTCCAGTCCTGGAGCAAATAAGTGGTCCAGTTCTTGCTAACTAAATGTACAACACTCGCTGGCACTGGGCTGTGTCTCGCACATATTCTGTGTTTCCCCGTGTAGCGAGAAAATGTGGATTGAGAAATTAGAGACTTTTCCTCCTGCTGCATATACATACGTAGGTTCAAAACATATGTGAAGCAGTTGTGCGAGTGGGAAAAAACCGTCGCAACAAATCTGAATGAATTGGTCTACTTTTCTCCTCTACGACCCTGAGCCAGAAAGAGTTGGTCCAGACGGTTTTGTGCTAAACTTTTAAAGAAATACGAAATGAACACAATGGAGAGATTATTGGGAAGAATGTGGGTAGCTGCTGCTAATAGCATTTGAACTTCTGACAAACGGTTTCTCCCTCACTACACTTTCACCAAGTATCAGTGTTACGCAGTTAAGAGAGATTTGGGGACAGAAAAAGAAGGACGGACGAGATATAAAGAGAAAGAGAGAGTGAAACAGAGAGCGAGCTAGAGGATGAAGCTGCCATTAAACGTAATGATAATGATAGTCAAACAGAACTGAAAGAGTATCACTGTGATTAATTACATTGCATTAGATTGTGATTCGGATCCTGCTCAACTTGAGTCTGCCCAAGTCTCTTCTTGAGAAGTCTGTCTGTACTCCACTTTGTCTTTTGCAGTAGCATTTATTTCCTCCTTGTTCTGTGGGAAATTACAGCTCCCCCACATTTGTGGCCCATCCAAATCTCATCCTTCGGAGAGGAGAAGACGAGGCCAGTTGAGATCCAGAATCTCTCAAGATCTCCCTCACGCGAAATCGATGTCGTTATACTCCTCACTTTCTCTGCCCTAATAATATTCATGGCTACACGATAATAAGTAGTAGGACGGATACAGATCAGTGTGCTCCCACTTCTCTCGTGGCTTTACAATAGTTCACAAGATCTGTGATCTGCATAACGAAACGGAACACAAAAGAAGGCTCGGAACAAGAAAGCTGCTGTACCTTCATCGTCGCCCGTTGTCGTCGTCCTCGTCCTCGTCGTGGTGGTGTGAGACACTTTACGGACCTCACGGACTCATATATTTATAGAAGCAGACTGCTCTCGCAGCAATTCTCAAGAAAGATGAGAGCTTCTCCTCATTATTATCCACCATGGACTTTTCTCATCTTTGCCATACCATCCTATTGTGGTTATGAGTCTGACGACCACCATCAAAATAATGGAAATGGTAAGAGTACTTTTTCCAAGTAAAACATTTTTGCATTATACAGAACAGCGCAGCACATACTTTTGTTGTACTCCAAACTTAAAGCCGAAACGATAGTCAACAACCAAAGCCACATTTCATATCCACACAAAACAGAAAAGAAGTGTGCTTTCTTATATTTAGACCGACGCGATGGGACCTCAGCTCTGCGTTCAGTCGAGTCTGTGAATACATAATGCCTTCGTAATATCCTTAATGCTCCACCTATGCATTATGCATCATAAGCGTATTGTATTCCAATTGAGAATCTTATTATGTGCTATACTGCTATTTAAAATGGCAAAAACTCCAATTTAATGCTCCCTGTAGAAAGTAATAAGCACTGAAAAGTGGACTGAATTTCTTGGCACGGGGGCATACTCCACACACACACACACCCACCGAGGAAAGAAAGCTGCTTTTTATTAGAAAACCTCCACCACGACCACCACCACCTCTTGACGGTGCACAAACATTACATTCCTTCCCTTTCCTTGTTATTAGTGGAGAGAAAAGGCATTGTGCCAGGAGTGATGCGTTTTTTACTTCAAAAAACTTGATGCCACCGCTGCTGAACAGCTTCAACACCGATAAATTGGACAATATACACATACAAATGACTAATTATTTCTCACTGTTTATTACTAAACTAGATTTGACTCCCTGTTTCTTAATAATTTCTTATTCATAATTGTTCCTGCTTCTAATATTTTTCTAAAATATTTAGTGCACATTTTAAGCATTACTGTGAATCTACATACAAATACATAAATATGTACATACAGACTCGTGTGTGATTATTTTAATTCACTGACAGACAGACTGACAGACCGTGTGGGTGTGCATATCCGACTAGCCATATGTTGGAGTGCTTTGTAGTACAGTTGGGGATGTCACGGCTTTGCAACTCCTAAGCCGATCGTGTGTATCCCCTGCTCGCCTATGGATCGTGTTTTTACAGAATTTTCTCCACTCACTCACACTTTAGTCCATTTGGGGATGTCGGGATATTTCTCACTCTCCTAAAGACCAATGTGCTCCAGTCTTTACTGAAGTCGAGCAATTCAATTGTCGAATGTAATTTATGAGCCGTAAACTTACGAGTTACGAACTTGGCAGAACAATAAAAGAATGACCTGTGAGCTCGAGTCTCTCATTAATAATCGGTAATGGTGAAATCTGAGAAATATGGCGAGCACGGAGCACATGCTGTGCAGTGAAGAATGAAAATAGGAACAACACGCTTCACATGATGATGATGGTCTTGGTGGTGTGACCGTTGGACGACGACCTGTATCGGTGAAAGCGCTCTCCTTTCCTTTGCATTCCCTGGCTGCATAAATCGAAAAAGGCTCCGGCCCCCAAAAAGGACACAGATTGATAAAATGCCACAATAAAGATAATCCAAGCAGAGAGCGGTACATAATAATCGTTGAAAATCTATCCTGCAACAATAACAATAAAGTGAATTCGCCACATCTCAAAAACCCATTGCAGGACAAGCAGCCGTGCTTGCTCAAGTGCGATTACACACATACGCAGAGCACATTGGAGTCAAAAAGCAATAATATCGCCGTAGTGAAAGCAGTTAAGCCACAAACCAACAAGTCAGCTGGCATTTGCTCACGACCTCGCGGAGAGAGTACGAAGACGGTGGGTGCGCATTATTAAACACTTTATGATTCCTGATCATCGTCGTATTTTCCACGCCCAAAAGTCAATTTCTTTGCCTTGTTTCACTCTAATGCGTTTACACCAACAAGCAATAAGCACCAGGGCTGTGCTCCTTCCAGAACATACTCTCCACGACATAAACATGCTAGATATTATACAAGATATTATTATACTACATACATATTTATAGCTCCAGACTCTTAATTTCTCTCCAAACAGCGACGTCGGCTATTCCTTCGTTTCGCTCGTAATTGATGAAATATTATTACTGTGTTTTCCCTCGTTTCACTTCCCACTTTCTTGGTTGCATGTTCTGCAGTGGTAATTATAATGTAATATATTTTCTCTAATTACTGTTTTCGTTCAGCTAAAGATCTATCATTACTCCAGGCTGCAAATTTAAGCACATGAATGGGTTGTTTGACACTTTCACTATTTTTTTCACACGAAGGTGAGTGTGAAAATTTTACTACTTTAAAATTCCTGTGAAGAGTAACGAAAATGATGCACACTTTCACTACCCGTAACTGGAAGGCCTGTAAACTTATGTGTGCACATTTCCGTAAATATGCATGTACCTGTACAAAGCCTGTGGAGTAAAATTGTTATTCATGGTCCCAGAGGGTCTGTTATGAGGGAGAGTAAAAGGAGAACCCTGTCGTTTTACGGACAACAGAGTACATGAAATAATGAGATAAGCGCACCAAAGTATATTTTTAATCTCTTTTTCAAATCTGAATGTACTCCCCATTTCCACATGTGTGATACAAGTTTGGAGGGAGGACTACTGACTGGGGGGCAATTGCGGGGAATAATTGCCCCAGCTACGAAATATGACACATCGCCATTCAACCTACCAACCATAATGTATGCATTCATAATTCTTGACTTGATATGCGCCCGTTCATGTGTAGAGGCAAGTAGGTACGTATGTGCGATATGGGGAAATAGTGGTGGTGGTGGCAGATAGATATTAGTATGCATTCAGTTTTCATGATTCTGTCTGCTTATAAATTACGTTTTTGTATGGAAATTAGGCTTATGACATGTTGTCCATAATATATTACGGCTAATTTACTCGGCCGCATGCCAAAGGTTTCGGGAGGAAATCATTATGTAACAAACTGCTGGTACTTACTTGTTTTACACGCCTAAATCAGATCATGGCGTAGAAAAGGGGGAAATAATGTGGTGCACATATTTACAATTAGTCATGATAGACATACCTATGTACCATGTGTGCGTAGGTATTTAGGCAGGCAGGCAGACGTACATTCACAACCCAGAGGCTAAAGTTTGATATCCAGCAATTATGTAGACGAAACTTGTTCCGACCTCGGAACGTCAAACTTGATTATGAGAGACGATAAGAGTGCGCCAAGAAAAAAATTTGAGGTGAAGGAGGCTGGATTTCGATTCGAAAATTAAAGTTTGGATTGCATCCTTCACACGCTGAATCTGTTTCCACACGTAATTAGTGCTTATCACGACATTTCCATTATTTTTTCCACTCTTGTCAACCTCGAATGCTTTATTGCTCACTAAATGCCAAATGCAGTACACATTCGGTTTGATCATTATTATGGGCGTCTGTAAAGGGAGCTCAGAGGCAGTTTAAACTTACCAACCACGGCAAATAATTTACAACATGTCAAACTTGTTCAGCCCGTGAAAAATGTACAAAAATGTACTTATCAGAATTTACAATCGCTGAGGAACTCTTACTAAATAGTTAGTTGTGGGTAAGTAGGAATGTACTTGTTATGTAAGACCCCGTTACATGTATAAGTATTATACATAAATGATACCCCCAAGCACTATGCTATGTACCGATGGGTGTAGTACTTGTGGTAATAAACTATTTGATCGCCTGTAAGTTAAAGTAGTTTGTTTGTGCGGAGATGGTAAAATTTATTAAAAACGAAAGGCCTCAGGAAACAGATTAAATATTTACCCTTGTCCATACTACTATTTGCAGGCAGACTATATACATAAATACTCGTGGTATGTGTGTTGTAGCAATGAAAGTAAGTTTGTTACTTAATTTAAATGATGCATATTGAGTTGTCTCTTAACCACAAGTCACCAAAGTAGTCTCTGCGTGCATGGCAAATACTTAGTTTGGTTGGGCAAGTCATTTGCTTTTCCGTTTATGTTTGCAGAAATCGACAACATGGAAGAAATTTCCGACATTCCACACACATTGATGCCTCGGAACCAATCTCTCGTCGATAGAGAAAGTTCATTTCCAAGTCAAATTCAAACTTTTTATTTGCGTCAAGTTCTCGGATGAACGCGCCTGCCCACCCACCTGCTTGCGCTCAACAAAAGCACGTAATAGGAGATGTTATGTCAACTGCTGAATTTGGCTCAATCAGAGATTTTCTCGCCAAATTAGCATGCATGGAAATGTAATGAAATCTCAAGTTTTTTGAAGCCATGTCCTTGTTTCAGAGTTTGTTTGAAAGTAGGACACGATTTCCTCCTCCTCTTCTATACCTTGTGACATGCATGAAAATCTAGTCGCAGATGGAGAGAGAAATGTTTCCCTCTCACGTCCTTTTCTCTCTCTCTCTCTCTGATTCCTCTCCCTTTGCACAAAAAGTTACACATGAATGAGAATTTTAAATAATTTTGGATTAGTGTGCTAACGTGTATACGAGGAGGAAAATAGAGCAGAGTGGGTCATGTATTTTGTGGGAGCGTTGAGCAGTCAGTTTGCTCATGCAGTATATATGTAGGGGTTGAATATGTACACATCGTTATATCCACGAGGAGTAGAATTTCTCCCATTCCTCCTGACAAAACGTGACACTACTGATTTTGTGGACCATTTTGCTACTACAATTCGGACGTTTTTAGCTGCCATTATTTCGCAGCTAATTTATGTTTAGAAAATGGCAGCCGAGAATCTCCGACAGTTGTTTTCTCTGCTTGAAAAAAGACGCTCCCAACTTTCAGCAATTCAAGTCTCAAGTGAAAGTAAAAGTGTAGAAGAATGGATGTAGAGTGCGGAGAGAAGAAGTATTGAATCCCAGCTCAGATGGTTCGTATTAGCAGGAGAAATGGCAATGGCAAATGGCAATAGCAATCCATTCATGCATTCATGGTTAGTGCCTGCATTACTGTACTCAGTTACTCAGCAGCAGAACATCCGCGACCCAAACAGCCAACGAGATTCGCCTCTCCAGCAACCAAACCATTTATATATTATTATATCGGTACTACTTTGTATAAGAGTGGCTCACGTAATGGCTTTGAGTTTACGGAGCACGATACCATGATGATATCCCACGCCACACCAAGACCACCACCATCACCACAACAGCCGCCGCCGACGCTGGGCCAAATCGGACTTCTTCAAGTAAAAGTTGGACCCACAATGTGACTATAATAGGCGAGGTATAGATGGCTATGGGCCTACGAAGGCTAGAGGCCAGCGACAGAGGAAAGCTACTTCTTCTTCTCTCTCCCCCTGTTGTGCGTCTTTTCATCTGTCCAGCTTATGGTTCTCTGGCTTAGCGCAGCTTAACTTGCCCTCTGCTTTGTTCTAAGGATGGAAGATCAATAATCGGATAACATATCGAACTTGTAATGTTATACCCACCACTTTCTCCTCTTCCTCTTCTTTTCTTCGGTTGGGAATGCTTTGTGGCGGAGGTTCATGTTGTTTGGAGCTGGAGGCATTGGTGGATGCTTGCGAACGAGTGGAACAACTATCCAAGCCAACACGAGGACAGTTGATGAGTCCCAAAAAAAGTGAAAGCAGAAGAAGGACGAGAGGAAAACAACCTCTGGCTGTATTCAGAGCTTGCCCGGAGAGTGTGTGCATACATACATGTGTGTACGTACATGGGAGAAAGCAGCGGATATTTAAAGCACGCATCCCCACCACCATCCCCTTCTATCACCTTCCATGCTTTTCCTCCTTGCCAGCCAAGCTTGCCAACAGAAAAAGGAAAACTGTTTTTGGCAAAAAAACGCTTGAGAAAGAAAGAAAGAAGAAAGAGAAAGAGAGGACACGGATAAATTTTGACTCGGTATTTTCTCTAACTTACGTGAGAACCAGGGCTATGTACAGTACCACCCACCTACGTCTACATACGTACATATATACCTGCCACTATTTTTCCTATTGGTATTCTATAGAGAATCTCCCATGCGAATGGCCAATATAAATTTTGCTGACTGTGAAGTAGTCAAGCAGTCAATTCTGGAGGTTTTGAGTGGGTATTGAAAATCAGATTGCAGAAACTAGCTCAGTGCACAAAATAATATAATATTGCAAGATTATGCCAAAATAATGCCCTGTCGGGTGTCCGTATCTGACAGGGAATGAAATAAATAATAAAATGTGTACGTTCTCCTGCACTCGCAGCCAACCCGGCGTTGTTACCTAAAGTTGTGTCTTGTCAAAGTTTACGATTCGCTCAATGAAAGAACTCCATTCGATTGCACAAACATTCTTACAACAAGTGTAGCCTCCGTATGTAACTCAATAAAGGACAAGTATAGAAGAGCCTGACAACAAATAAACTTAATATTTTATTGATGTGAGCAGCAGAGTGAAAGTCGGTCGCGAGTTGTGTACGGTATTTACATGTGTATAAAATCCCATTGTGCTGTGTCGTTATCATCGAAACAAATCTATGTGTGATATTGCATTTGGCTAAACTTTCTGCACTCCATGTTTTATTGGATGATTTTTTTGGAACAGGACCAGGCGGACGTGTGGAGCTAACTGGATTATACCCGGGACCGTATTTCGATATAGAACGAAATCATCAAAACGTTTCCACGCACGTGGGCACTACAGCCTATTTGCCCTGTTATGTAAGAAGATTTCATCAATTTCCCATTAAATTCAAATAAAATTGGATAAATTTGATACTCAATACGTATTTAGTACACACATGCCGTTTTTAACTATTTTTTTTAATTTGTTTTTTGTAGGTCAAGCAGCTCGGGAACAAATCGGTAAGTCAATTACTATTTCCGTCTGTACGTGTATTATGTTTCACCCACCGCGTCACGACCTCGTCATCTCGGTGCACATTACAAAACAAAATTCCTTGGGACGGAATAGGCTGCCCATTTTTTCGTGTATGTACTTTTACTTTCTTTCTTTTTTCTTATAACTTTTGTTGGAAGAGGAAACTTCCATTTTCGTGTTTTATACTTGGCACTTCATTTCACCTCCTACATCTCGCATATGAAAAAAACGAACGCGTGTCAAAACGAGAGGAATTGTATCAAGTCATGCAGCTGAAGAGAGTTGGGATTTTTCACTCGTTCTCAAACTTTTCAACTCAAGTTTAGCGAGCCCAAGGCAGAGAAAAATTTCATAACATTAATGTGTTTTACATAGGCATCGCCAATCTCACAGTCCGTTCCCTCCGCTTTGCTCTCTTCCATTAATGTGATGACATGTTCTCGTGCTCAATCCTTTCACTACTAATTATTGCCGTGGAAGAACCCATCAACCCGCTTTCTATGAAGGCTGTACATGCGTTCATCACCTCGTATTTTACAAAAAGAAGCTTATCCTGTCTTACAGCGCAGAGATTAAATGAACAAAGGATAGCACAGTTCAGGTTCAAATATATCCACATGCAGACAGATAGGTATACATCCATTGTTTCTCTTAAATCCTTCGTTTTGAAACTATACTACCGTTGGCCGTGTAATTAACATTTACTGTCTGCATTTACAGTTAATTTGCAATTTTTCTTTCCTCAATGTTGCTGAGGAAGGGGAATGCTTTGCTGTTCTGGCCGTATATATAAAATGATAGCGTAAATGCATGCATACATACAGGCAGTGAAACTGTTGTTCCTGGATAATGTTACCTTCCAGTCCAGTTACACCAGACTGTTGAAATTGTCTTTTACTCGAAATTGCCTATATCCTTCGTCTTAAAGGTCTCGTTTAATGGGGTGCTCAGGTTTAGCTTTTAAAAGCTATACATATTTAAAGCATGGGATGATTTCTCCTACATAATTTCGCTAAATGAGGGGCATCCACCCTCTCCACCAGAAAGTACGGACTCAAGAAAGTCCGCAAAGTGTATAGTCCAACCAGACTACATGCATGTATGTATGTATGCATACGTACATACGTACCAACCCCCTGCGGGTCTGTGTCTGTCTTCTCTTTCTTATGTATACTAGCAACGATCGATCTTTTATTCATTGCAAAATCACAAATTACGAAATCACTTAGTCATTGCCCTATAAGTACATGTGGAGAAAAAGGAGAAAAAAGAGAAGGGTTTGAAAGCCAAAGTGCGGTTATAGGTTGGATTGGATTGGATGATGCCTGGGAAACTTTCGCCGTCTTCACTTTTAAGCCCGCTGTGTCAGTGTCAGCAGTAAAGTTTTGTTAAAAATATATTGGAGCGGAATTACTCCAACCACCACAGAGATTGCCCCTCCACTTCCTCCATGTATAAGCGATGATCATGATGAACGGCCTGCTTGCACATTTCACTTCTCGCCATCCAAAGCTTTTTGAAGAAGTTTTCCCAATTCAACGGTTTTGCCATAAAGTTGTTGATTAGCTCAAGCCCTTTTGACTTTTCAGATTCAATAACTGCCCAGACAAAGGAGAAGTAGGCAGGCAGGCAAGTCAGCACAAGAGTCAAATCGGCTATATGCTACTTAGTTCTTGGTTATTATGGTTAGGTTGAAGTGAGGAGGGTAATATGCCTGCGAGTGGCGTAAGTAGTCTGCATATGCGGCGGCTGTGACTTGTGATAATAATCCAGCCGAGCGGTGGTGGTGGACATATACATATAAACGTCAAAAAGTTATTCCTAAATTAGATTCTCCACTAATGAAGTTTCTTCTCACACGAGTTCTTTAATTTATCTCTGGAAAATGATACTAATTTGACTTCTTTGTTCTTTCAACTTTAAAAAATTTGTCTTATGAGATTTCAATTCTCCGCGACGCATGGTGTACATTTAAGAGCACTGCATGTGGCGGTGGTGGCCGGAACAAGTTTTGCGAGTCAGTTTTAAACAAGGGAAACGGAGCAATATGTTACACGGCATCACAAATCACAAAGGCTCCCCTTCCCTGAGTTCATTTAGCCATGCATAAAGAGAGATAAAAGGTATAGTGAGACAAAAGATGCTTTCCGTGTAACCACTTTCTCCGACGCTGCCTCCGCCGCGGTATTGTACGTCGTGCCCTCGTCGTCGGAAGAGTGAAAGCGGCGTGTGGATGGATGGAGGGAGGCAGCGGCACGAGAGGGACTGGGAACGACTCGGAGGATTCAAAAGGGAGTCGAAAGGGTTTGGAGAGCGAGTTTCTCAACCGCAAAAAGCAATGTGAGTGGCACTGCTTCTGATAGATGGTTATAGAAAAAAGAGAGAAATCCAAAAAGAAAGAGGGTAAAAAAAGTTGGGCCACCAAGTCATATACATCCATAGTCAATGTTCATTGATTTTTGACCAATCCAGGACATTTCAACTGTTTCATACAATTCAGAGTGGAGGTATTTTAAAGAGAGAAATCAGAAATGACAGCCTGGAGTCAGCGGGTTTTTTTATAAGACTCATCATTTTTTAAACTCAATTTACCAGCCTAAGTGACCAGCCTAACTTAACTTGAGGGAACTAACAAAGTAAAGTGACAGTTTTTAGGATAAACTTCCCCCATGAGATTTCTTTCTGATTTTTTATCTCAACCAGCCGCCAATAATAGCCTTCGTCTGTTCTACACACACCACACACACTTCCAACTTTGGTCCAGACAATAGGCAGGGGTTAACTAAAAGTATACAGAGGACGGGTGGGGAGAAAATGCTTAGAGGTGCTCCTCCTATCTCGATTTTGTGGCCATTCCGGAGGAAAAATATCAAGTCTTCTCAAAGGGATTTGGAATATATGTTCTCGAGGATTTTAGAACTCGAAGAAAGGAAAGGAATCTATCTGTCCACTGAATCCCTGACAAAGATAATATATTATTGCCCGCTTTGTGACACAGTTCTTTTGTACGTACTGAATGAATACTAATTTCCGTCCGCAAAAGTCCTCCACACAAACCAAGCCAAGCGGAGAAAGCTCTCTCTACAGCATAGTGTATCTTATTCCATGGCTCTCTCTCTCTGTGGATTAGTCTGTTGTGTGTGAATACGGTCGGAGGAAATGTGGAGCAACTATGCATTCTTGAGACCAGTTGAGACTTGCTTTCTATTGAGATAGAAAGTTGCAAGAAGAAAACGCGATCTATGTGCATTGTGTGCTTATATGTAGTTAAACGGTTTGCTTGACAAAAAGAACGAGCTGGTTATATACCGCACAGCAACAGCAAGCAGAGCGTTTTGGGATATGTGGTTGTAGAGATCTCTGTAGCTGTACGCCAGAGAACATTACGACTACCACCCACTATTTACTAGACTATGTAGACTACTGACACTTTGTCCAAGCACCAACTCAACACTGTCAGCTCTGTTCCAGGAAAGTGGAAATTTCGAATGAAATTTCCGTTCGACTTGCTCAAGTAATTCGTATTGAGCCGATGGGTTGGTTTCATGTGAGAAGGTTGTGCGAGGAACAGTGTAAGCAACTTGTTAAATGACATCCTTTGAGTCTTACAATTCCACTCCATTATGCGGTAGAATGCTTATCGAGTTCCGACATGTAGCCAATAGGAGCCTTCCACCAACACCAGCAGAAGATGATCGAATCATAAGGATACCTTTTGACAGCAGGAAATTCTCAATATCCTTTCCCCAACTATTTTGTCTTTGTCTATTTCAACTGACCGGAACTTCAAATTATTGAGTCCTTTTATCGTGTAATCTTCCCATCGACGTGACTAAATCGAAGTTCTGCTGGGGCACGTGTTACCCATATACATACATATGTATACACATACTAGTTATTTGGACCATTGGTAAAAACATTGCATTTTTTTTTGCTCAAAGCTGCTCTTTGACATCATGCTTTCTGCAACGTGATGACAACACGTTACCAACGAGTCAGTTTTTTGCCTTTTCCGCCCTCAATATTCGAATACGTTTCCGGAACGTGATGATCATTCGCTGATATCAAAACAGCAAATATGTAGCAACAGCAACGACGTATGTATATACATATATAGCACATTCTTAGGCACTATATGCACATTTCCAATGTCGTATTTTTCAACAGTTGCTTTTTCACTACCTATAACTTTCCAAAACCTGTTGTCCTATATATTTGGACTGTGAGAAATCAAGGACTTTGCAAAGGGATATTTATGACCCACTTTGAAATCGCATGACGTTTATTATCTGGAACCTTATGGCGGTTTATGCTGAACCAGGCGATTCAGCGGTTGATTATTACATGTACTAGCTCACTGCATTCAATCCGATATTATTGGACATGGCGGCAACATACATAAAATAAAAATCTTTCCATTTCCTGTAACAGCAAAGCAAAAGCGTCGACTTGATATTGATCGTCACTCACGTATATAGAGTGAGCTAGTCCATACATACGTGCATATATACGTACACGAAGTATGTATACCATTATTGCCCATCAAGAAGTTGAATTTAGATGCAAGTTAAAGGAAGGGCCGAATGACTTGATATCATTTTCTTTGCTGCTCATGCAGGCACACCACACAGACACCAATAATAGTCAGTTGAATGTCCAAAGTCGTCGGGCACCAGAGTCGTATGTAGTAAGTAGCCCCTTTCTCTCCCTCTCTCTCTCTGAAGGAATGGCAGCAGTCGTCGTTGTAGTTGTTAGCTGAAATGTTTTCATAAATCCTGACGCCTTTTGGACGGAAAGGAAAAGCAAAGGCAGTGGGAAGATCACATATATATGAAAACTGTAAAAATTGTGAAAGGCTCTTTATGTCGGACGCATTAGGTATTATGTATTTGAAAGATGAATGTATTTTCTTATGCCATTCTGGCCCCTTCCTTGTGTGTGTGTGCGGAATGGGATGATATGTGTAATGGAATGCATTCCCCCA